TTTTCCATAAATTTTCGTACAAACTAAGCACACCAAACATGTTGGACAAGCATTCGAACGAAAATTTAAAATCGTTGGCATTATTGTTATGACATCGTAAAATGATCATTATGATACAAAAATAGATTTTATTAATTATTTTATTTTATTATACTGATCATACCGAAATCAATAACTTATCAAATAATTATCATCGGCAAAATTTTTTGTGTCTGTAAAACACCCGAAGTGACACAACTCTTAACCGATCTCGGGATTCCATGATTGGATTTTAATGATTATAGGCTCGTTAGAATCGTCTCATTGAGACAGTCATTTTGATGGTAAAAATCATCCAAAACGGACCGGTGAATCAAGAGTTATTTATGGTTAATATCTTGAAATTTTTAAATAGTAATTCTAAATATCCGCGGATATGAGAAATGTTATTTTGCTGTGAAGAAGAGCCTGTGGAAAATAAACAGTTATAAAGCCATAGATGGGTGTTTGGATCCATGTAATAAATCAGTTATTACACGTGTCTGTCGTCAACATCCCAGACCAGTCTCGATACCATGCATCAACGATAATAATATCTCGGTTGACCCGTGATTCAATCATATCTATGATAAAACGTGAAATAACTATTATACAGTCAGACCTATCTAAATACGACGGGGACCATATGTAAAATTTAGCCAAACGTGCATTTAGGGAGGTAAAAATCTATAGCCGTAGTATTAGTTAGTCCAAGAGAAGGTGGGAGGCTTTTCTAGGACGTGCACATAGGGTGGTCTGATTGTAGGTTACTCGGAAATACTATTTATAAGCCTAAGCATGAGGCAAGTACTTGGCATACTGATGAATTATCGTGTCCATGCTCACAAAAGCTGTGAGCCCTCATGCTCATGCTCATGAAAGCATTTTGGACAGATATTAATATTTGATCAATTGCATTATTAAAGTTGGAAATTTATGTGACTGTATTCTCAATTATGTCGAAGATGTTATTTTCCAAGGTAATCTCCAAAATTCTAGGTCAAACTCATTAAATTTGGGCTGGTATTAGGCAATGCCCCTATGTTTATAACAAATTACCAGCTGTGCGTTTTCACTGGATGGCTATGACTTGCAACTGTTTTCATAAAAACTGAAAAAAGTTTCCGATGACCGAAATTAATGTTATCGACGATCATAAGTTGTTCCAGAAATTGTGTAAAAAATTGGTTAATTCCGGTCAAGCCGACTCAGGAGTTCTAGAACTATTGATAGGAAGATAACCAAAATCTTGCATTCGATCTGATGTTTAGATAATATTTATTATATATAAATATATATAAATATATACATAAATACGTATAAATTAAACAATTAACGTTAAGGGTTAGGCGTTTTCAATTGAATTGTTTGGGTTAAATTAATTCAATACAGCAAAAATTTTGTGCTACATAAGCGTTTCATAATTACTTTATAACAAATTGCGCATGATACACGTGATTGATATTTATATCTGGGCTCATTATACGTAGCGAAAAATAAAAAATAATTTTATTATACAGTATATCAAGGTTATATATTATACTATATAGAATTTGGAATCGATTTTATTTTTCATAAGTTAAAACCCTAGTAAATTTTATATTAAAAGCTAAGTTTAATTTTTAAACATGATTATTATAAATATGTAACACCTATTCTACTAAATACTATATATAAATTCTAACACATATAGGTCTGAACAGACGAATTCAGGAAAAAAGCCAGATCTACAAGTTTTGTTAAAGCTTGACACGATGGAAAATGAAATAGTACTTGCTGAGGTTTCACGATTACTACCTCAACAAGATAAGGAGATTATCGACTGGAAGAAATTGGTACGTATTTGCAAAGATTGTTTTGATGAATGATATAACATTTTTTTGATGGGAGGGATGACGCTACCGATACAGCCAGATCGATCTATGTCAAGTTGGGGAAAGTTCCTGTCTTAGGTATCCAAGTAATACGAGATCGTGTGTTTGTTTCTGCGTTAGACCTATTTGAAGATGATTTTTATAGGGTTTTTCGAATCTGTGAGTTGGTTATACCTTTACGTATTTCCTCTTGTCAGATAGTTGAAGAATTTTTAAAGAACGTTCTTAAATTGAGGTTTGTGGTGGAAAAAATTATTGTAATGTCTGTTGATGTGAAGGACGAAATTAGTCTTTTGCCCGTAACTGAAGATCAAACCCCATCAACATTGAATGTCGACAACATATTCTCCACCAAAAGAAAAAAATTTTTAGAAAATGTATATATTTTATATCAATAAAGCTGGCTCTGGTGGCTCAAATTTCAAGAATGTATCTACATCTTGATTTTTATCTTGTATTTATTTTTTATCTCTATATTTTTATATAATAAAGCTGACCCTAGTAGTCGAATTTCGCATACATAATCGTGTTTATTTTTTACATGTATATTCCGTGAATTTATTCTAATGTATTGCTATTGATGTATATTAAATTAACCCGCCTATGATCGAGAATTTTAAAAATTTTTCTTGACATCGGCGTGAAGAATCTTCACGCTTACATGATATTTTATTTTGTGCTTTTGCCGTAACTCTATCTGAGTATCGAATCCGATCACTTGATTGAGGTGCTTGAGAACACCTTTAGATAGGCCTGAGGATGATCCACTAGCAATTCGGTTAAGAAGCAAAATTTTAATTAGTCGGAAATTAAATAAATGAATCAAATGAGTTACCATTCCGATGACAAAATCAGGGAGA